TTGTGTTTTCGACACCTCAACTTCCAGTGCTGCCGCTGCAACAAGCTCGCAACAAAATTAAAAAATTCTTGTTGGGCCTAATGCACAGAGACCTAAAGTATACACTACAGTAGATCCGATACGAATATGTGTTGTTGTTGTGTTGCTATTCAGCAATAAGTGTAAATTGTGCATTTCCCGTCGAATGATAGTATTGAACCTAGCCTGGAAACACTACAGTGTACGAAGCACTTTTCCAGCCTCTCGGATTGGCCCGAACTTGAAAATGTATCTAGTCCTCGAGATTTGACCGCTTTGTACCGTAGAGTAGCACAAATGCAATCTTTTTACTTGTAGATTAAGGCTATCTCATTAGAATTTTGAAAATCAAGGTGTTGAAAAATTTTCCAACGAAATTTGAAACATGTTGCAAGAAATGGTATTTCTGGGTAACTGAGCAGGTATACGATAGTAAGTATGAATCAGATGATCTACAGAAGCCATCTGCTCGCAATTTGAGCATCCAGCGTGGTCAAAATATCTGTCGCAAACCCAACACGACGGTGGGAGCAGTACTTCTTAACCGCGAAGGCTGCTTGTTGTGTGTCGAGTCCTTTACTGTTCAAACTTCAGCGTTGCACGATTACTCGACAGTAAACATACCAGTAAGCATCCATATAATGCCAAGCTTTGCGGAAAAAACGGTGAATGATCAAAACATCGCACATGTCAAGACATTGTGGAACCAGTGTTTTCGCGGTTGAGAATTTGCCATCAGCGACAATCTCATTGCTTCTTTGCTCGAGCAGCTTTCTTTGCCACAGGAGGCATATGAATGGTCCAGGGGAGATGAACAGGGTCTAGGGAGCATGGGGTAATTTTTTTTCCAACGGGAAAATTTGAAACAAAATGGGAAATTTCGAAAAATTGCTTATTTTTGCTTGTTTCCTTACAGAATTTTCATTGGACATCGAAATTTGTACTATAGAGGTCCCTACGGAGATGGTATCCTAGTGCTTCGTACACTGTAGTACAACCCCCTCGGCTTAGTGGTGCGGAAGCCCCGGTCTATCACCTCTTATTAGTGGGCTTACGTGGGAGTCACAGGTGCGTTTTTCAGTGTTTTTCAGACCTCAAAACTTTTCTGAACAACGGGCGAAAAACGCCTTACCAACGCAACTGTGAAGTCCTATTTTAACGTCTACAAATGCGAATTTTTACAGCTTTTCCTTTTCATTATGAAATGTGATGTCATGTGGAGAAAACTCGTCAAAATACACACCCTTTTGTTAGATTGGACATGGAGTGACATTTGAATCCTTCCAACACCTAGTAAGTTTTTCAAGTGCTTAAAAGAATTTGCTTCATATGATCATTGTAAATGTCAAAATCTCACGTCAAGTGAAATCAAACCTCACTCGTCTCACAATATTCTATCACACTGTCATTCTTTATGCATGCAGAAATGTGCACCATACATAGACTCATTCACTTGGTTCTTTATTATATCGCTGGCACACTTACTTCTCGAGAACTCAGGGTCACTACAGGTTCAAATGACAAAATAACGAGCGAGCGTTCTGCGCCTACGAAGAAGATGCCTGCCAGCAGGTTACAATACAATTATCGTAATCGATTTGGTACGCTCCTGCAGGTTCTACCGAAATTCGTGCCATCGGACAGCAATAACAATTCTGCCAAATCAATCAGAATCGTGCGCGTAAGCATATGCAGGATATAAAAGCTGGCCGTGGTCCTATAGCTCTTCCTCATTCTCGAGATATCATTCGCGATTCCCCTCAGAACATTCTATATCACCTCCCACATAAATGCATTTCTCCCTACTCCCCGTTGTTGTTGCTCTGACAGCATCTATGTCTGTCAGTGCATGCAACCAGTGGAAAGCTTGCGTAGTAAATGATGGTTGCTGCCCTGGCTTCTATTGTGAAGATTTCAATCATGTGAGTATGAACAGGTCGCAGCCTGGGCAATCAGAATTCAACCACGACTCACATGTGTGCCTTAGGATGGAAATTTCCTCTGCAGAGGTTGAAATCGAGCTGGCAGTCCGAGCGGCACGTCGCGACAGTGAGTCGCGTTTATATTTTCTCTTTGGTATCATGGTTGATGGTGCGATACTTAATAGTTCGGAGCCAGTTAGTACAGTTGCTTGTGTACGAAAAAAATTGTGCTTGTCGAGCAATGTGGATGTTTGAATTTATCTGTAGATGACTAGAAATAAGTGACCATGCCTAGTCTTGCTCGCGGTCCAGTAAGCTCGGGAGTGATCCTCTTCATCGAGCGCCCGAGTGTCGGATGGGGTGTAGTATCAACGATCACGAACCAAGTTCCTAAGCAGTCACGGTGAAGTCCCAGAATTTGGGCCGCTGGCACAAATAACCAAAGACCTGCAATGGACAATTTCTAATAGCCACTCAGTGACTGATACTCTGGATCCTTCGTCATCATACGCTAGCGTGTGCGCAGCGACCGATCCAACCAATTAGCGCACCACACGTATTTACTTGCATGTCATAAAATTGTTCATCTTCGCTCCTCCATGACATTATGCTAACAGCAACAATAATTCTGCCAGATCAGTGAGAATCATGCCAATAAGTATATGCAGGGTATAAAAGCTGGCTGACGTTCTACAGTCACTATTCCCCCATCCTCAGAGATATCATTCGAGATCACAGAAAATGCGTTTCTCCCTCCTGGCCGTTGTTGTTACTTTGATAGCATCTATGTCTGTCAGTGCATGCAAGGACGAGGGTCAGCCTTGCAAAACAAGTGCAGAATGCTGCGCTTGGTTGTTCTGCGGACTGATAAACGTGAGTATAAGCAGGTTGCTGTGCGACCAAGATTCAACCACAGGACTCACCTGCGTGCCTTAGGATGAATCTTCCACCAGGGGCTGCAGAACATGGCCCTGGGAAGAGAAAATTGAGCCGACAGCCTGAACGGCACATCCAACAGTGATTCATGATTCTGCTTTTGCTTTGGTATCATGGCTGATGGTGTGATACCTAGTCAATCAATACAGTTGTTTTTGGACAAATTTTGGTACTGCTCGAGTAATGTGGAAGTTTGAACTTTTCTGGAAATGATCGACCGTGCCTAGTCTTGCTTGTGGTCCACTAATAAGCTTGAGTTCGAGAGGCTGTCGAAACGAATGATCATTGCTGTTAATGGTTAATATTCGGAAGCTGTAGTACAAAGACGGAACGCACTGTACAAGTTGAGTCTGTCCGTCTAACGTTAGCCTCGGGCCATCAGTGTTAGGGAACCTAACCTGGATGATGTCGCGCCGACCGGGACGATGAAGCTGATCTAAGTATGTGGACTTACTCAGTCGAACGTGTATTTTCACAAGGCCGGCACCTTCTGCACTTTACTCGAAACCGCTTGTCTCCATCATCAACCCGTGCATTCCTCTGTCTTGGCTCGTGTCTCCGCTAGCACCTGAGGACCTTACTAAGATTCATGAAGTCTCCGAAGAAAAGAAAATGAGAGGACGAGAGCGTTGGGTGAGGTTATTCTACGTTGTGTCACTATATCTTGTTTGCGTACCCGCGGGTTAGCACGGCCAATACCGTACCCGTACCCGTACGGTGTTGATCTTCCAACCCGCGGCCCGTATACCCGTGCGATTGTTGCTGCCTCTCGAGCCCAGCGGCCTGAAATTACCCTGATGTCATGAAGGAGGTTTTCCCTGAAGGCGGACATTGGGTGGCAATCTGTTGGCATTGCAGATGTGCCAGCATTTGAAGGTGAGACCACGCAAGACGATTTTCAAATGACAATGTCCAGCAGATAAAAGCCAGTAATCTTCCTGATGTATTCAGAATCATCTGATTCTATATCACAAGGTCACTACAAACAATGCGCTTCTCCTCTGCATTCGTACTCGCCGTCGTTGCTACATTAGCCTCATCATCAGTCTCTGCTGTGCCCTCTCAGGTTGATGAGTCTGACACTGCTACATGTCCTAACTTGTGTAGCAGTGGTGAAGACTGCAATAACTGCCCTGTGGGGATTTGCGTGAGTATCAATAATTTTCCTGGATCTGATAGCGTGACTCACCTGTATGACAGTACGATGATATTTTCTGCTTAGTGAGTCGTGTTTCTGCTTTGATATTTTGGCACTGACGCGCGAGCGATTAGTGATCTGTAGAGTTGATAAACGAGCCGTCAGGAAAGCATCAGTAGACTGGCGTAATTTTCGTAGTTTGCTTGGGAAAACTGAGATAAAACACATCAGTAAAGCACAAACTTTTCCCAGTTATGATGTCCAGGACCTGCTTGAACCAAAATAAATTATTGGTCCAAATCCAGATCAAAATCTTGCTGATTGCCGTTTGTTATTCAGAGGAAAGGCATGAGCCATACTGCCTGCCGCACCAAGGTATCCATGGTGTCTGTACTAGGCCCAATTTGAGCCTGGACAGCTGCCGTTTGTTTCTCTGTTTGTTTCTCAATTAGTTTCTGAATGTGGCGTGGCACTTGTGACACAAAAGTGACCAAGAGTGACCTAGTGTGACGAGCCACTCCTCCCTTTACCGCTGCTATGGCGAAGAGAAAGACTACCGCACCTTCAACAAACAACGCCGGAACTTTAGTCGTTGCTCCCTGGACCGTCGAAGAGACATCTCGCCTTCTCGAATACCTCATAACTCACCGTGCCGAAGGTGGAGATTCAAACAGTCCACTTTTACCGGCGCTTCGACTCATTTGCAAGAGCCGCCAGATGGTGTTTCGAAAGAGAACCATGTAGGGGGATCTGGTAGGGACTGGCAGTCATGCAAGAACAAGTGGTTAAATGTACCCTTTCTGCTCATGCTAGATCATATTCTGATTGTAGTAACTTGCACAGTGCAAAAAAAATATGCCACTATTATCGATATCAAATCTCAATCCGGCTTTTTGTGGGATGACGAACTCGGTGCGAATATTGATCCTCCTGACACCGCTCGTTGGATGGCATGGCATGATATCGTTTTGTAACATGATTTTTTACTGCCCAATGTCTTATTCTTCGATGTTCCTTAGAGCCTCTTCAACAATCACTTCCGGGAATTCATACTGTATCCAGTGTGAGGCATTTGGAACAATTACTGCTCTGACGTCCTTGAATTTTGCGACAGTCTCCAGCTTCGAAATACCATCAGATAGCGGATCTGCAATCAAAATCGTCAATGATGCAGCAGCAGGTCTGTCGGCGACCAAATGCGAGAATGACCATGGCACGTTGCCCTGTACCAATCCAAAGCATCAGTACCGCTAATTCCTGAACGCTACTCGCAAACACTGACATCCGTGTGATCGTCGTAGTTGGTCGGCCTACCGATCTGGATCCCCAACGTTCTCCAAATAGCATCCTCTCTCGTCCAAAGAGGATTCATTGCCATATAATCTTCTACCATGAGGTTAAGTTTGGCTCGGGCATCGTTAGAAACCTTGACTCTCCGAACCGCCATCTGCTCTGCCGTCACCTCCACTGATGAATCGATGAGAACTACGGAGATAGGCCTGGTTTTCGACAGGTACTTGAGAAGCGATAATACCACCTCACCGCCCATTGAGTGGCCGATGACTATATCATACTCTGCAGCCTGAAGGTAAGGCAAAAGGTCGTCTGCCAATGTCTGGACTTTAAAGTCAACCCCAGGCATCCTGAGAGCATGTCCAAGAAGGTTAGGGGCAACGACCAAATATCCTAACATCGATAAGCGCTGTAAACAAGACTCAGAGCGAAGAAGACCTACCTTTGGCTGCAAGCATCGATGCGACACGGTGGAACGTGTGCGAAGACGAATTTCCACCATGTATAAGAAGCGCTTTCCTGGTTGCAGTAGGAGATCCCCACTGACTTGCAGACGGGACCGTGGCCGATGCGTAGTCCATGATGGATCTAATCAGAAGTTCCCATGCTTGCACGTGAATCAATCAATGACAATGAGGCGTCAACATGTGTTTGATAATCAATTGGTGTAAGTACGGGAATAGAATTTGAGTTTATGATGAACGCCGCTCCAGGTGGACCACCTGGTCATGACGTCCATCATATGGTTCAAATAAAAATGTACCACGAGCGACCGAGTCGTTTATGCATCTGCTGTTCAATTGAAATATTCTTCCACAACGACTTCACAGCATTTGTGCAATGCTACTGCAGCAGTTTAATCTTCTCCGTTGTCATACAAGCAGTACCGAGTAACGATCAAACGAGCAACTTCGCTATCGACAGGCCCTATCAAACTTATTACACTGCGGAACCTTGAAAATCTCATCGCTGTAGAAAATAGATCGCCTCCGAGTCGTTGGTGCTGCTCGGGTCATCGTCCGCAGACTGATAAGAATGCAAATTCTAGATTCTGCAACCAAGATCGGATGGTGGACCGTCGCTTACCGCAAGGGAAAGACACGAATGATTGTTTCTGATTCGGCATTCGCAGGCAAGGTGAAACCACCGATTTAGTCTGAACATATCGGATGCCTCCTGGACTGTTGCGTGTGGTCAATGTGAAGAACAAGAGTCACAGGACGGGTACCATCTGTTTGGACTGCCTGAGAGTCTTAGGCGACACGATACACTTGCCATGACCACGTTTTTGGTCCGTCCACGCGGTCCCAGAGCTAAGGGTCCCATGCTCGCCGCAGCTGCCGCGCTTAAATTATTCAATCCCAGACAAAGTTAGCTCGAAAGATAATTAATTTTAAAGAAGTTTAAATTTGCTCATTTTAATGTCGTCATGATACGCATATGTGTAGGGACACCGCGTATTTTTGTCATGTCCCATCAATGCCCGTTAATCAGTGCCACTAGGCGATGTCAGGTACAGATAACTTATGTACGACTGGCGGTCACAGGTTTTGTGGCGGCTGCGCGTGTTCGGCACATGTCTTGCAGCTGACAGGAGGCATAGGTCTACAAGTACACTGATGCGGTCTCCAACAATCTCGGAGTTGGGAGTCATAATGATCATCCATGAGCCAAAGTTTCCACAATAACCGGAGGTGGCGCATCATCCCAAGTAGAATATCGAAAGTTGACCAGTTCTCATGCAAATTTAGGTTGGGACTCTGTGGGAGTGATCAGAATCGGCATCGATCCATTTTCTGGAAAGGATTACAAGTCATAGATAGACTGCCGTTGTACAATCGCCAGCTCAATACGAGTCCTCGTACAACCGCAGCAGAAGAGCGTTCGTCCCTGTTGCCTACCGCCTAAGAGTACACAGACTACTCCCCGTAGTAACCCACCACAATTAGCCTGCCCTTTGCTATAGATAACGCAAATGTCCAGATTGATTAATAGTACTGCGAAGTGAGGCCAAGATTTAAAGATGACTTTCTGTATGGCTAAAAATTCATAGTAATAAGTAAGTGGGATGAGAACAACACGAATTATACGGTCGTCGAACTCACAGATTGAATACGAGAACAACAAAGGACAAGTGATGAATTAAGTAGATGTATCGAGAGGGTCCTGCTCGTTCATCACTGTGTTTACCAGTCGGGAGGTGAACCCTGGGCTTCGCGTCTCCAGTCAGGAGATGAATCCGACTCGGCCTCCCGTTTCCAGTCAGGAGGTGAGCCTTGGGCAATCCGCTTCCAGTCTGGATTGCTGGGCTTTGGGTCGACGAGATAAATGAGCGTGCATAAGACAAACATTGCAGATCACATACCTCACGGGCCTCCTCTAACGGGCTTCTTGCTTCCAAACCACTACCCACCGCCTGTACCGAGGATAGATTAATAGATATCTTTATCGTACGACCAGATGGACTCACTATGGGTGTAGCCAACACGGAACATGCAGAGGCCACGACAAAAAAGAGTGTAAAGGGCTTCATGAGAGATTTATAAAAGTTCGAGGGGCGCTATTCTGTCAAACATGCTGGGTTGTTTAGGTTTAAAAGGATTTCGGGCACAGAGACGATGCCTGAAAGTTCACATGCCATGAGTAGCTCTGTGCCTGACATTGCTATAAAACTTGGTCACGGTCTGTCACGGTCGTGTAGTAAGGTCCCGGCGCACCGTGCCACCTAGCTTGCAAAGCAAATTCATACGCGTGGCAGGCTGTGGCAGGGATTCACAAGGTAAGTCTCATAGACTTGGTTGTTTGGAGGTAAACGGAGTATCACTCAGCTGATCACCACTAATTCTACCGCGGCAGGAACATTCCTTGTATGTACCTTGCCCTTGTCCAGACAGGTCCCAATCCAACATAGAACTCGGAAGCTCTTCCATGGTCAGATTCAAATTTCACTTTATGAAGTTGCCTGGTTGCTTTCGAAACCTCGTTCCTTGCACGCCAAGCACCGGGTACTTTGAGGCGCCTTTTTTCATGCTACCTGCCCAGATGGTGATCACGACGTGGTGGGGCTCAAAGTCGTGGTCGTGGGTTGGAAGCCAACCGCCTAAAATTTCTTGCGCACGGACCGTGCCGCACAGCGACCGCGTCAATAGCTAGAACGTGCACAGCTGGCACGACAAGCATGCACTGCCACCGCAATACGCGCGCTCACACGCATGCCCGAATTCACTGATACGTGCTCTTCGTATTCCCTGTTGCTTCGCTCCATGCTATTCAACTTTCCATAATCACCGTTACCCTCGTATTGTCCATTTCCGAACAGATCTCAGGCGCCGGCCCAGACCTCAAGGCGAGTTAAACCTGTGGCGTAATACGTACAAGCCTGGAGGAACCCAGGACCCAGGACCCAGGTACATACCACGATATTAAGTAGAACATTCCAAGGAACTGATACCTCGCTTAGACTTTAGATGGTGTGTGCGGCACTTGAATGTATCCTCGAGCGCGGGGGAAACTCGGCGTGTATAGGTAAATATACCGACGAGTTTGCCGGTCTCACCCAACCGTTGTTAACTTTGTGTGCCTACCGGATCTTGGTATATCATGCAGGTTTGTGGATGAATCGATGATGGTCTATGAAGTGTTGCGAGCACCGGCCGGTGTATTGGAGGTCCGAATATCATGCTAGTTCATGAGCTCATTGCCTTTGTGCCATTTCAATATATACAGCGTGTTGCTTGACTACGTGGATCTGCATGTGGTGCTGATACATATTTGTTGTTTTCTCTCAGGTGGGCCTGTGTAGGAACTTGCTGTCAGTGATGACAATGATTATCCAGAACCTCGAGTCTGTATCTTGAGTCATGATAAACCTATCCCCTTCAATGAAATACATTTCGTCATGGGAAAGAGATTTCGTTCGATAACCCAACTCAAAGGGGTGACGCCCTGATGTTCTATGACATTCGTCTATATTCCATGCTCACTCGCCATCCCACAGTGAAATCTATTTATTATGTTTTCTTGGATATAGTCAAATTCGCAAAGCATGGCCAAGTGCTTTTGGAACTCCTGTTTTCCCTCGTTGGTTTCCGAGGTGAACTCTCGCAGTAAAACAAGTTTAAGAACGTCCCTGACTATTTTGAGGAACTACTCCGCGTGAGGCCATTTCGACGTCAGGCTTTCCAAGATACCGGGACACGTGAAGCAACGAACTTCACATAACCCGCCGTCACCATAACCCCCACTCCAAAAGCCATTAACAGTCTCATTGACTCCCTCGAACTCAACTTGGCGTTGACACCACTCTCCGCAACCTTTTTCTCTGCGGCAGATCTAATCTGACCAAGAGTAGGATGTGGGGCCTTTTTGTCGAATGCATTGATGGGCGGGATACTGCTGTCATGTGCGGATTGTAGGGCCGGAAGGCCGTCGAAACTCTCGAGATTCTCAGCAGTCCACCAAGCTTTGATCCCACGGGGGTCTTTTGCGGCGGCCGAGGATTCATATGGGGGAGGGGCTTGGCGAGCTTCGTCATCACGATCAAAATTTTCCATCGTGTCACACCAACGCTCGAGTATCGTGCGCTGGGTCTCGTATTTGTACAATGGCACACCGAAGCCGCAGGACTGAAAGACACGAAATTGAGTTTGGTTGGGCATTGCCTGGATAAACGTACCGTTCCAACTTTGTGTACATCGATGACGATGATGGCGCGCGAACCGGCTTTGCGGTTGGTCGGTGGGATGAAGTTGTCGTATTCTGGCGTTCCGAATTCGTATACGGTGCCTATGATGGGTCAGGGAGAAGTTATAACGTAATTTGGGAATCAGAAATGAAAGAGGGCAGGAATTTAACAAGGGCAGTATGTAGGATGAATGCAAAGAATCTGCTGACCTTTTCCCCACAAACGGAGGATTCTCGGGGGTCCTTCAAACGCGTTGAATAGGATTGTGATACGACCGTTTCCGGGCTGGCGCATGTGCGAAACCGTCTCGATACCTGGAAACCATACAGATCAGAATGCGAGTCTTGGAGTAAAACCTTGCAAAATGTAAGTATAGCTACGCCGAACGACGAAGAAATTTCGCGCAAGGTAAGAAAGATCACATACCGCTGCCCGTAAGATCCTCATACCAAACTCTGGTAGGACTCTCGACATGAAAACAATTCGCAGTGCCCTTGGGAGAGACATTGACATGCCCATCCCCCTGCAGCGCAGCCGTAGCCACCCAAAACATCTGTTGCTTCAAGATCCATTCGATAAGTTTCAATGGAATCTCGTCATAGTACTTTGCCATAATGATCGAAAACTAGGTAGCCGAAGAGTGGAGTAATCGATGGTTGAGTGAGATAACAGACGGAGTGACAGGCGGGAAGGTAGCCTATAATATACCGGAATTTTCCACAATTGTCTTGAGCATGCATATCCGGACTGTTCGGCAAGCGCGAGCCACGCTCGTTAAAGCTTACATGACAAGCGCCAATACTCATTATACCAATCATGGATGATGAGAGAGCTTCAGCTGTCTCGGACTAAGACTGGAGTCGATGGCCGCAGATTGGTCGCTGCATGATCTGAACCTGACCTTTTTGTTTTGGAGAGGCTCTGAATGCGCCAGCATCGTTCTGCTCGGCGCTAGCGATGTTGTGGAATGTGGATCTATGCAAATCGGTCAAAGTTCAGATATCCAGGATGTAGTAAGTGAAGATACGAGTACGACGTACGGAATTTGTATAGCGCTGTTTGGCGTCGCAGCTTCCGGATTTCTCCATGTTCACCTTCTGAATCGGTACTACAAAATTTGCAGAAACATATCGACGTCTGGACGATACTAGCCGCCGGGTTGCGTAAAGTCACAATGCGAAATCAGTGCACAATGCATATCCAAACTCGAAGATTTGGTCAGAATCACAAGTGCTACACACAAATGCAAAGTTTTTGGCCTGTGGACTCAGTGCGAGAAGAAGTTGGTGCAGATTCAGTATTCGACTCGTCGGTCACTTGTTAGTTTCTGAAATGCTGGTCTCTTTTACTACAGAAGCGCTCGGCGAGTCGATCTATCGTGCTCGTCTTCGCTCCCCTCTATCCTTTTACTTGTACGTTGTTCTTCTTTATTACCGCTTCGTCAAATTTCAATCAGCGCTCGCATTCAAGCTTGAATCCGCTCGAGGTAGTCTTATCGTCTATATGCGAAGGAACAACGGCTGCCCTCCAATATCAGAGACCCTGCTAGGGGAGAACTAGTTGAACTGCAATCTAACTCGGGCAGGCAGGGTATGTAGATATCAGACAAGGCAATCCCCTCTCACACACAACCGCGCTGCTGTTTGCGAGACCAGCATTATAGCAAATACGCACTGCGTTTCATGGACAGTAACGTGATCCAATATCATCTACTGTGGCAATATTCTCACCGTTTCTTCTACTCATCAAGAACTATACTTGAAAATCCGCTGGTAGCACGCAGCACGCACAAGGGTTTTGCACATATGCACCTAATAAAGTGAAGTTGTACATCAATTCTCAGGTTTTATGAATGGCCTGAGGATTGTCGCACTTGATCGGCAAGATAAATCAGGCTGTAGTTGCCTCGCCACATCCAATGAAATGTATTTTGTGTCGTGGCACCAAGGTCCGCGCTAGTAAATTCTGGCATGTTGTAACTTAAACATGGTCGGTATTTCAGGAAGGATTCCGAGAGCAAGGTGTGTCGTTTCCCACTAGTATTCATTTATTGGAGCCAATGGTTGAATTTCTGGCCAGCTGAAGAGAAACGGGTTTGGGAGGCAGATCGGATACGTCTCCTCAATAGTAGTCGCTACTTTTCGTATGTTCGTCGTGTCATCTTGGCAGGAACATAGCGCTTGTAGCTTGACAGGGGCTTGGCAAAGGTGCCACGGAACAAAGTCATTATCGCCATATTTTCGGGACCTCGTCGATTCCAAGAGGCTTTTTGCTCAAGAACGAAACGGACTCACTTGAAATCCGCTGGGACCGGAGGGCATAGAAATGGAATATGCACATCCTCATCCGGAATTTGAAACCTATGGACATTCGAAATTTTCCAGATGGTGTGGATTACCTCAGGCACCTGATCAGTAAGATAAATTAGCTTGGTATGAGGTACTGATCGCCTGCATCTTTGGATGAACATACCTCGTGTCATCTTAACAGGAAGATGGCACATCGACATCAGAAAATCTGACGTGAAAATTGCGTCTGATGAACTGTCAGGGTTTTCACGGACAAAGCTGTGTCGCTGCATCCTCGGGACATTGCCAGCGCTCTCTGTTATGGTGAGCTGCTCCGCCCTTTTCTCACTCGAGATGAGGTACGTACTACATCCGTCGTCCACGGGGAATTAACTAGGGCATAGTACCTGCGCTTCAGTTTCTAGAAGAATCCAGGATGAACGTTGGGAAATTGCAGTTTAATGTGTCTATTGATGCTGATGTTCGCGCACGGCCTTCGGACCTTGATCTACCATTTGCTGTTAATCCAGATGAATTCACTTACCTTACCGTCCCTGCTAAACAACGTGGTGCCCTACGATGCGTGGCTCCAGGACCTGTCATGAAAAAAAAAAATCGCATTCCACCATCATATGAATGGGCATGAGATCCTTTGGAAACAACGTGCTTTCGGTCGATGTGCATCCAACTAGGCAAATTCTCACTGTCCTTTTCTGGATGCCTACCGTGGTCCAAGACGAGGGAGGAAAAACATTCAAAATACTCCATGTATATCTCGATCCTTGCTCCACGTCACTGACGGACTAGGGTTCTGTCGCCGAGTGTGATCCTTTTGCCGAATTCCGTAGATGTCCGACATGGATCGACGAGGCTATGTTGTTGCGTGAGTTTCCTTGCTTCGCGATGAATTACCTGTTCGTCTGATTCTCGTTCTCTGCACCAGAGAATAAGGCAAACAAGAGACTACCTCGTTAGGATACACTGGAATTACAGCGAATGCATTCAAGCCCCCTAACATGATTTATCTCATGGGAACCACATATATTACTTGTTTAAGGCAGCACAGAGTCCTTCACTCCGCAAGTAAATAAATAAGTGCTTACAAGCTTGCACCTTCGTGGCATCGAAAGAAATTCAGTTCAAGGTCAGCATTACGTGTTGCCAAGTGACACTCTTACTCATGATTGAAAGTTGTAGCTCGTGTCATCGTTGAACGTTTCAACTTAGTTGAACAGTCGTCATCTTGAAGTGCGTCTTTTTCCTACGCCGTTGCGCTCGCGCTTTTCACGAATTAGCACATCGCCATCATGCTTTAGAGACAAAACTGGGCCTACAGAGCAGGATACCTTGGTGCGGCAGGCAGTATGGCTCATGCCTTTCCTCTGAATAACAAACGGCAATCAACAAGATTTTGATCTGGATCTGGACCAATAATTTATTTTGGTTCAAGGAGGTCCAGGACATCATAACTGGGAAAAGCTTCTGCTTTACTGATGTGTTTTATCTCAGTTTTCCCAAGCGAAGTACGAAAATTATGCGAGTCCACGGATGATTTCCTGACGGCTCGTTTGTCAACTCTACAGATCACTAATCATTCGCGCGTCAGTGCCAAAATATTAAAGCAGAAACACGACCCACTAAGCAGAAACTACCATTGTACTGTCATACAGGTGAGTCACGCTATCAGATCCAGGAAAATTATTGATACTCACGCAAATCCCCATAAGGCAATAATAACAATCTTTACCACTGCTACACGAGTCAGGACATCTAGCAGTGTCAGACTCATCAAACTGAGAGGGCACAGCAGAGACTGACGATGAGGCTAATGTAGCAACAACGGCGAGTACTAATTCAGAGGAGAAGTGCATTGTTTGTAGTGACCTTGTGATATGGAATCAGATGATTCTGAGGACATCAGGAAGACTACTGGCTTTTATGTGCTGGACATCGTCATTTGAAAGTCGTCTTGCGTGGTCTCACCTTCAAATGAATGACACATCTGCAATGCCAACAGATTGCCACCTCCTTCATGAAATCAGGGTAATTTCAGGCTGCTGGGCTCGAGAGGCGGCAACAATCGCACCTGGTATACGGGCCGCGGGTCGGAAGATCAACGCCGTACGGGCCGTACGGGTAAGGTATTACCCGTGCTAACCCGCGGGTACACAAACAAGATATAGTGATAGTATCAACG